TCGTGTTAGATTTGCTTACTCTGGGCGGGACTTGAACCCGCAACCTTTGGATTAGAAGTCCAACGCTCTATCCATCGATCTATCCAATTGAGCCATCAAAGCTATATCTTATTAATTCTGGTGCCTTGCGGGAAATATGGATCAAATCCAACTATCACACACCATTGTACTTGTTTTCTTTACTCTGGGCGGGACTTGAACCCGCACCCTTTGGATTAGAACTTCTGGTCCGGAAGTCCAACTCTCTAACTGGTTAAGTAAACTTTACCACTTAATTTAATTAACTTAAACTCGCTCATTCTAGCTTCACTCAGTAAAGCTTTCAATGAGCGGGTTTCCAATATATTGAATTGAATATTCCCGTTTTTGGGAAGGCGTAATATCGTAAACCGCATTCGAAATTTTATCGTTGGGCCACTGAGTGGGAATCCCACTGTGGGATTCCTAGGGGCATTCCCGACTCAGTTGACGCTAACGGCCTTTGACAAAAGCCCTTTGTACGTACTGGTTTCAGATAGTGTAATCCACTCTGACATCCAAGTGTTTTCTGACACGACCGGAGTAAACGATCATGTTTCATTGTGCGTTGAGCTCAAAACGTTCCCATTAGAGGGATCGGTGCCGTTTTTGTGCACTCAAGGAGCAGCCGGAAGCCTAACGCATTTTGCGCATGCGGGCACAAACTTTGCGCTGGATCTCAGATGTGACATCGGTGAGTCTCGCCAGGCGGTTTGCCAATCTTATGGTGAACTTGAGATTATGTCAACTAGGTACACCTGTAAGATCGGTCTGTGAAGGCCGAGTGCTCGATGTGCGATGTGATAATAAGTGCGGAGGCATCGACGTTGATAACCTATATAAATGGAACTCTGTAACTGTACAATGTCTCACTTCGAAGTGAGTGCGATTCCCATTCGACGCTTCCCATCTGCCGATAATCTATGTATCCCGGTGTGTCTCTTCTTCAGCACCTGTTTCGATTATGTCCATCTGTCCCACGGCAGTATCACGGTGAAAGTTGGGGACATAGTGACAGAAGGCCAGATTATTGCTAAATCTGGTGACGTTGGTTTCACTCCAGGTGAGCTACCCTTATATTGTCTTTACATTTAAACTTTTGAAGAGTGGAGTAGGGCATAATACTAGACCGGTGGCAAGTTCTGATACCTTAGCCAATTGCTGGGACAGGAGAGTGCGCTGAGGATGCGCATCCTCCTTGTTCGGGACTAGTAGTACAGTATGCCTTTATGTGATTCAAGGAAGATGAACATCATTTATATCTTGGCTTGAGATCATTGGTATGATTACTGTTATCTTCTCAGAGCCCCATCTACACTTCCAGTGCTTGCAGTCATCGGCCCCAAATGCGCCCTCCATTCCCATCAAGTTCCGTTTCGGTTCCGATACAGCCGCAGCAATCGTAGCAGAAGCAGGAGAGTACTATCCGCCATCGATGGCTCCTGAAGCCCGAACTACCTAATTTGACCGTTTCTATAATAACAAGTGAACCTCTTTGGTATATAGTAAATCTTCGTTGTTCCGTGATTCCGTGAAGTATGTATAATTACCTTCAACCATCACATTGGAGACCTTGCTCGTAACTCGCCTTAGCTCAACACAAGTTAAACAGGAAGAATTCAATAATATCTTAATATCACTCCACCAAGCCCTCGGTACAACAACAGCGTTACTAGTTCCACTGGAGGCTGGTACTGCCTTATGCCCACTGTTATTATATATACAGCAGGCTACGAATCCATTGTGAAGTAACTGAAGAACACCAGGTGAATGGCTAACATCGAACCACACCTACCCGGAAGTCTCCCGACACTCGAGCATCTTTACGTACAAGGTGACCATCAACCCAAAACGTGACTAGTAGATCAGATTTAGTGAGCTCGCAGGGACTGTCAGTGTCATTTATCCGATCTCGTTTGTTGCGACAAGAACACTTCTCCAGAGACGGCCATGTGAAGTCAACCGCAATGTGGTACCTGGCGCTACTAACGATGCCCGGGGTGCCAGGCTAGAGCTCACCATTTCCGTGGTTCATACGCCCAGCCAGGGCATCCAGTTGCACTTATACCATTCTCCATAAAGCCCATGACAAATGCAGAAGCAACCGGGCATAGTGCTAGAAAGACAATTGCTATGCACTACGATACCGTGACTTACATCCCCCTCTCGGAATCAGCTGTGATACAGACATCGTCGGGGCTCCCGCTGCCTGGTAGGGAGAAGTGTCTGAACAAAAGTGGTAGGTGTTGGTAGGTTACCAAATATTGCACTGCTGAGGCTTACGCTGAGACGTTGGAAGTGTCGACAAGAATGCTAGGCAGCCCTGACCCTGGTGCATTCGCCCTCCCACTCGACACCGAAATTCCACCTACAAAACAATGACACAAGATTGACAATATCTTTACCAAAACAGCTGTGCCGTGCTTACTCGCCTCGGTTTGATGCCATTATGTTGTCGTATGGTATGTAGGAATACACCCGAATATGGATGGCACGCTCTGTTTACTGGACCAAGGATCGTGAGGCATTTGGATGAGGCGAGAGGGCACGGTGATAATGAATTATCAGGATCCTGAGAAATACGACAGTCGTCGCACTTCTCCCTTCAACAGAAGCCTGCACCTCGTTTTCATCAGGGTTTCTAGGTACCTCAACAACATTACACTCTCGGAGATCAACAGCCTGATTTTGTTCGTCACTAAAAAAGAGCAAGTGGGACGATATGACCAAGATTAATTACATGGTCATCGGTCCCCGAAGCCACTTCTTCCCCCAGTCACTCGCGGTGAAGTTTTCCTCAATATAAACCGTTTCCAGGCGATACATAGCCCGCAGCAATTGAGCCTGTGAATATGCGGTCATAAACAAGATACTGTGTAGCCGTCCGCCTCCTACTGTGGTCGGCTTGACCTCCTTCCCGTTCATTACAACACTTGTCACCCGGATTCCTCTAGATTTCGCAATCTCTACTATCTCTCCCATCTCCAGCTTGGTCAGCATCATTTTGCACGTGGTTCTCGCTCTAACCAAACATAGGCGTTCAGCGATCCCCCAACTCAACCTCGGCCTACCGAGCGATGTCCTTCCCACCAAGAAACCAGCAGCAGAAGCTAAGCAGTGTACAGCCTGTCTCTGTTGACCTCCAATTACGCGGAACGCGATTTCGTAAAGGGAAGGGCCTGTGGTAAAGAGCCGGTGTTTCGATGTGAAGGAGGGTAACTCACCCAGATGGCGGTGCTGCAGGCGTGGCTGGGGGCTGGGGAACTCTCCCTACAGCTGAGCCTCGATTAGTAACCAAAACCTAAAGCCAAGGCAGAAGAAGCATTTAGCCTGCGTGCGGGTATCGTGAGACCAACGCACCTTGCGTGGCTGCATTCCATACAGTTGCTGAAACTGCTGGTTTGTAAATGCCGCCGTTTGGCCCAACATGGCTCCTCCAAACTGCCAGCATTGCCCAACGTTCCCGTAACTTTGACCAACTCTTAAACCCAACTCGCAAAAAATTCATGCAGGTAAAAGGGTTATCAACTATTATCGTGCAGAATGGTGGTAGTCTAATAATCCTCCATGTGAGGGGCGCTATAAAACAACAACTGCAGCAAATAAGAGAATTACAACCTGTGCTATGTCATGGCATACATCTATCGCAATAAGCAAACCAGCGTGAAAAATTGAGACGAATGCTTGGGTTCACGCCTGTGGGATACAGCTCCCCAAGGGAAACCTATCACTCTTCGCACTGTCAATCGTGCTGCTGAGTACAGAACTACAGAACTGTTTCAGGTCCTGCTCAGAATTGAGAGGCATTAGACATGCCTAGGATAATGACTCGCAAAAAAGACCAGTCAAACAAAATCAATATGTGTTCGTTTACAAAACCTTAAGGTGTCTACTTCTGCCATTTAAATACAGCCATTACTATAGAGAGTACTTCCAAACTTATCCGGTAATAATCACCCATTCCTCATCCGATGCTACCAGTTCCTCCGGTCGATCCACAGCCTGTTCTTGTGTACCACTAGCATCTTCATTTACATCAAAGCTGACGACATGCTCGTTGATGTCCCAATGGGCGGTATCGTTTTCACTTCTGCCTGTCGAGCGATGTGTGCTTGGGCTGTCGGCGCAGCATCCAGCTCCACATGCAGTCCTAGTAGAAGTACTATCTAAACTCGCAACTCTCTCACGAAGAGAGCAGAATTGGGAGCTCCAAACCAATGTAGCTTTCTCTCCAGATATAGTAGTGTCATACGCGTAACAAGAAGCCTTGCCATTAACACCGCACACCAGAAGGGTGTTATTGGCGCCAAACTGGAGGACAATTTCCAGATCTTCAACCGACTGTGGAAGGTCTATGAAGCTCCATATAACGACAGATGTTCTGCTCTTAGTCGAGGGCTTACGCAATGTTGAATTAAGCGAATTGAGCCCGAACACTTTACTGGCAATGAACTTCGTGAGATCTGAGCCACTGGAGTCATCTCGCACTGGAGTGGTTTCAATCTTAAAAATAACGATTTGGCATCTAGCACCATCGACTCCTGCTATAAACTGCTCACTTGGAGATATTGCCAATTCAGCAAGACCTCTGCGCCTCATAGGTAGCTGATAAAATGTCCCATTTCGACTTCTCACAGAATTTCCTTCAGCTCCCGGTTTAAATCGGCCTATGATTACACAGCTCTTGGGATCACCATCGTTTAGCCCACCCAGAACCCATAGCCCACCATCTTCAAATCCACACGCCGTGACACTACCGGTTGATGCAATGCTGAGAATATGGCGATGTCGTCGAACAGGCAGGCTCATTTGAGTTCCATCAAGACGGCTACATAATATATGACCTACTGTAGACTCTGGCGCAACTATAATAGGAGGCTTCTTCCGTCCTTGGCTTGGTGCTAAAGCAACAGTGCCGGAGATATTCGGACAGGTGTCCTTCTTAAGAATGAGGCCTAGGCTAAATGAATAGATCCTCAATATATCCTCTGACACTACAGCAAAGTATCCGACACCAACCTCCAAGTTGATAACCGGTGAAGCCATGACGATCTCGGTCACGACAGCGGGAGGCGATCGAATGTCGTACAGCGAAACCATAGTAGGCAAGAAGCGACTGCCTTCACCGCCAACGCCCACAAGAGCAAGGATTTTGTCACCACTGGGATTTGAGTCCAGAAGAGACTCTAGAGAAAGTGGTTTGACAATAGTGTAGCCTGTGGGGCAATCTTTAACTTGAACAACCTTTA